TCGACTCATGGCAGGTTAACTCGACTCATAATAGGTCTGGTTGACCTATGCTTGTGATCATCGAGAAAACATCATCATTGCAATCATGTCCTTAGAGTGATGACACCAACATCTCAATTTTAACCAATCTGAAATCAATAATGATTGCATAGTTGTTAAGTAATCATGGCCTAGGTCCAAGCTACAATCTAGGTACCATGATGACTTATTTGGTTAACCTCAACAACCAATCAATAATCTTAAATTTAGGTGGTGGCATGTTCTTTCAAGTCGATATTGTAGTTGATATGATGTCGGTTGACCAAATTGCTTGATTTAGAGGCCTACGCATAGAGCCAAATGGTCCTCACTAAAGGGCAAACTTAATGTATTCTTTCCAATACATCCCAAACTTCAATAAATGAAATTATTCTTTTGATTTTTCTAAGCTCTTGTTTAGCCCCCATTATTAATAAGAATTTGGAAAAAATGGATTTTTAAATTGTAATTTTTTGAAAAAATTTGTGGTTCAAAAAAAAGATTTTTTTTATTTACATGTAATATTATTTTATTGAACAATATATGATTGATAAAAAGAGAGAAAAAAATCAATTATGATTAGGGATGACAATTCGGCTTTTCGAATCGAGCCGCCAGTGACTCGGCTAAAAAAAAGTTCGAGCTAGCTCGGCTCGGGCTGAGCCCCATTTTCAAGGGACAGGTCGAGCTTGAGCTCGAGCTAGCCTATGCAACTCACCGACTCGAGCTCACGGTCCATAATAAAAAAGCGAGAAAATGCTACCTCTGTTGCTTTTTTAAAAGGCAATAATAGGAGCATTTGTAACACTGATGGGTAGTTTAGTGGTCAGGTCTTGAGTTTTGCTCCACAATGGTCACCAGTTCAAATCTTCTAAGGGTCACTGAGGTGAGTAACCGGCTGTAAATTTCAAGGCCTTGTGGAATTAGTCGAGGTGCGCGTAAGCTGACTCGAACACCCATGGTCATAAAAAAAAAAATTAGTAGGAGCATTTGTGCTGTCTTTTAAGGCAGCTGACACAACAGTTTTTATATTAAAAATAAATAAATCGAGCCTAAATTTTTTTGTCTATCAAAATCTCGACTGAGCTCAGGCTTGGAAAAAAGCTCACACTATTTTACTCGAATCAACCCCGAGCCTTGAATTTCGGCTCGAGAGTCGTTTTGACTCGATTCGTTGACATCTCTAATTATAATTTTTATAATGGGGACCAAACTGGGGCTAAATTATAGCAATTTCAACAATCGCTTTACTAAATTTTTTTAATTTGATCTAAATTTGCCATGTCATTTTCAGTCATCAACACAATTAATCTCCATCTGTCCGAGAACCATTTTCTAAAAGTGGAAATTACTAAAATAGTCAATTTTTGCCTTTGCATCTACAAAAATGTCACCTATTTTAAGTCTTTGCAAGATTGTTAATCTTGAACATTTTTACCCCTCTAATTAATTCAAATACCCTACATGTCCTTCATTAAAAACTGATTTGACTAGATGGAAAAATAGTACAAAAGGTTTTCAAACATCACATCAAGTGCTCTCACCTAATATATACACACACACACACACACACACACACACACACACACATTCACATTATTGCTTTTTGGTCTCTCTCTCTCATCACTTAAATACATCTCTTTGGATGATTGAAGGATTTGAAACCCTAACTCAGAAATTCTACTGTAAGAAGAAGAAGAAGAAGAAATCTGCAAAAGCCGCTTCTGTTGGTGGTCAGCGACATGACGGTGCCGTACTTCTCAGTGTTTTTTAAAGATCGTGACAACCTTATTTTTGTCACCGATACCGTTCAATGTTTGGTAAACTTTAGGAAATTAGTTGAGGAATTTTGGAATGTTAATTTTGTAGATCTTATTAGCTCATTTTGCTGGATTTGAATCAATCTTTGGTCAATTGTAGTGTTTGAAAGATAGGGTTGCTTATAATTGTTTTCTTTAATTCCAAATGGCAAAACTAATGTGACAAAATGAAAATATGGTAAATATATATAGCTAAAAATATTCACTTGAATCTCAATCTTCTGGCCAAGAATATAGCTCAAAAATATTCCCTGGGATCTCAATCTGGTAGCCAACAATCTTACTATAAAATGAGTTTTGGGTTGCAATTTGATCATTCTAGCTCGTAGCCAATTTTAGTTTTTAGGAAATGTAATGACCATATGCAAAATATAACATGTAATGAAGGTGAATAATTAGTCATTGTCATGATTTTTGTTGACTGGGTATTTAGAGCTCCATTTTATCGGCTTCTACTTCTTGGGCAACATATCTTCTGACAAAGGTTTTTACTATTTCTTCATGCACGTGTGTGTTCATATGATAGTGCAAGGTTGTTCGGATATGTCCAAGTGTGTGTAATTCCATTTTCGTTCTACGAAATGTCTTTGCATTGCTTAGAAATGATGCTGTAGATGTCGAACTTCTATGTCTCATGTGTACATTTTAGCAGATTGCTAAAGTGTGCAGGCTACTTGAACGTCGTTTTCGACAGTTCAACTCTATCAATCTCGACAGACGGACAGAATCTCAGGCATATGTCGAGATTAACCGTCGGTATCAATAGATGAACTGTCCATACTGACGATTGATGTCAGTTTTTCATGTCAGTTCACCTCACTACAAGCACGAGCTTGATTCATTACGTGTTACATTTCTATGTTTTATCATGATCTAATCCGTGTTTTTCTCGTTGTACCTTGTAGGAGAAATAGAGTTTGAATTTCACGTTTCGAAAAATGCTCATTGCGGAAGTTGGTCTAATGTGCTAGAAGTTGGTCTGTTGTTTTTTAGTTTGAATGTTGTAATGCGATAACTGAAGATCAGCAGTGTGGGGTTAGTGCATAGTGAATGCATGGATTTTGCAAATAATAAATGATTATGTACACTATAATTTATTTTGTAATGAAGGCACGAGCACGTTGTGTAGGAGTTCCTAGTTTACTTGGACCATACTTTCTTCTTTCCTGATCAATTTCAAAGTTGTTCGTCAATGATGATTGGGTTAAGATGACTAGCCATTAAAATTTTTCCATGTCACGAAACCATGCTGCAACTAATTTACAAGGACGTTAATGTGAGTTTTTTTTATTGGGTTAAGATGATGAGCCATTTTTATAATTATGCCAAAGTCATGACAACCATGTTACAGTTAATTTACGAAGTGCATAATGTGAGTAGCAAGAAACTTGAATCCATTAGTTCGCATGATTTAAAAGTCACAATATCCTAGTAATTATGTGAAAATGGGGATAAAGGTACAATTATTTTATTGAACCATCATACCAACTAAATTTAGATGAGATTGGACTTTGTGGTTAGGTAGTAAATGACCATAATTTTTTCCTCCCTTCAAGTTGATTATAAATAGCATGTTGTCATTGTCAGTTACACATAAAGTACTTCATGAACATTGAGAGACTTTCAAGTTCTCGCAAATACAAATTGTTTCATCAATTGTGTTACGTCGACATAATGAGTTCGTCCATCTGAAACAACAAAATGTTCAAGCTGATCGAGCCTTTCCCAGTTCTCGGCTCATCCTATTTATTTCAAATCTACATTTTCGTAAAAATACTATTTAATATTAGCGGTGTTTATCATTTATGCATCACTTGAGTCTACTATTTACAATTTAGAAACTACAATTTAGTTAGCGGCGATTAAAATTATCATTTTGAGCGGATTGTGATAGAAGGTTTTGTAGCAATAGGTTGAATTATTTTGAACAAGCATAGAGTTGGAGGGCCTTTTATACGTTTTCAAATGATCAGCAATTTAAATTTTTCGACATGTTTTATACATTCCATATGTTGACAGGTAGATCGATGTAGTACCAAAAAGGGAAAGGTGACAACAGTTTTCAGGTATCCAAATCGACAATTAAATTATCTATCCTGACAATTATTAAATGTCGAGTTCGACAGTTAAAATGTCTAACCCGACGGTTTCAAAGATACAATTCGACAATTGAACTACCATAATTTTCGAAAATGCTTAAAAACATGTGTTTGATTGTTTGGAAGAAATTATTGAAAATATTAATGGTGATAATCAATTTTCAACTACAATATTCTCACAAATAAAGAAGGAATAACTCAATACTTCATTAAATATAAAATCATTCACATTTTTTAGAGGATGTTGGTATTTTTTCCCTTGAAAAATATATCAAAAGTAAAACACATCAATGAATAAGAGATTCAAAAAGTTCAATTAAATATGACCATGTTGTATTAAATATTTAAAGTGGTAAACTATAACATGAAAATATAATTTTTTTAGTAGTTCACCTTTGAAATTGATCAATAACTTTCCCTTGTTGATGATGAAATGAAGATGATGAAGAAGAATGTAAGGTTTGTATTCATAGGTGTTTGTGTGTGTGGTTTTTTTTTTTTTTTTTTAATCCCTTATTTTAACAATAAAAAATATTATACAATATAATGTGAATATTTTAAATGTTTAAAATAAATAAAACAAATCATCACATCACACCATTAATTGCATCCAAATCAAGTATTTATTGTTCCTAAAAAGGTGTCACGAGAGTGTAAAATGGGCATTTCACAGGGAAAAAGCGACATCTTTGGAAGAAATTGGTGCAAATGAACATTTTTTGTACATTTTTAATTTTAATGACATTTATGTAAATTTCCCTTTCTAAAATTTCTTTCTTTCTTTCTTTTTTTTTTTTTTTTATCAAACGCATTTTCTGGGGACCCGTGCAACAAAATTGAAAGTGAGGCAAATTTGAATGGGGCCTGAGTGCTATATTTTACAATGTTTGGTTAATTAAGGGACCATTTGAGTCTCATTATTTGTAAATTATAATGAGATAAATAGTATTTTTTAAAAAAATGAGTGATTAAAAAGTTTATGATTAATTTGTAATATTATTTTATTGAAAATTGAGTGGTTAAAAGTAGGAGACAATTTAATTTAATGTAACAATAAATAACGGGCTCAAACGGGGGCTAACTTATCCGATTCCTTGCACCGCTGAAGAACTTGTTTTCGTCTGTCAATTGTTATAGATTTCGAATTTCCAACAATTTCTACAGTTCAAGATACGAATCCCCTGCACCAGCGTAATTTCGTAGCACTCACGGCAGTATTGAAGCTACAATTAAAGTGCGCAGCAGAAATTTGTGGTCATCGCCATGTCAATTGAGATCAAACTCTCCCGATTCAACCGTATCTATCGCTCCAATGTAATCGCTCTATCTGTTTCTATATCTATACGCGTGTCTACTTGCTTACAGGTTGAATCGGATTTTTATAGTTTTTTTTTATTGCTTTTAGCTAATTAATTGTTTAAAAATTGAAGGAACCATTAGAGGGCAAAATAATCATGAAGCTCACTTCTTCAATTTCGTTCCAGTCCATCCGCCTTACTGTCAGCGGCACAGTTAGTTTGCAGGTTCTTAATTTTACTTCCATTTTCTAATTATATGCTTTTTTAATGTCTTTTTGTGATTATTTGAAGAAGAAGTCCGAGTTTTAAGTAATGTCTTCATATATTTTCGAATTTTTGTAAGATTAGGTTCGCGGAGGATCTGCTGGAGTAGTCGAGTCTTTCTATGGTGTCATCAAACCTATTCCTATTGTGTAAGCCGCTTCATTTATGTTAGTTCTTACTCTTCTTTCTGTTTGACTTAATCATTCCCTTTTTGGGTCTTTACATTATTGCGATTGCCTTCGTTGAAGATAATCAAACAATTTGGTAACGTGTTGTAACTGTTGTTTAATCGTCACTTTCCAACTAAGTGGAAGATTTGGGGTGGGAATGGTTAAACTAAGATAAAATCCCATAAGCCTCTCCTAGCACATACCGTGCAACACATGATCAAGATTCTATAATCATCTCCTCAGTAAAAATTCTTTACAATGTAACCAGATCCCTTGATACCATCATAGCATATTATATTTTATGCATTAAACGATATGTGCTAAAAGAGGATTATGTGTAGAGTTGAAACACTAGGAAATATTTTATTAGATCTAAGAGCTCTACACTGCACTTCACTGGTAGTCACTTGCATTTATAGCTCTCAGCGACTAAAACATACACCATTCTTCCATTTGTACTACATTAATGTCAGTGCATTGGCTGAATTTCCTATTTCTGGAGAGATCCAGCATGGTGTTGGAAATAAAAAACTTTCAATGCAATACTCCAGACTGTTCTCGGCTTGCTTGGTCAAGGAGCAATGTAGAAATGGAAAGCTTTGATAAAAGAGGAAGAGGGACGAGAGGCAACAGTCCAAAATGGTCTGGATTCTTTAGATGGTGGTAGCCTTCACCACAGTATTAGGTCTTGCAATAGGAGAGATTCATGGATAATGAGATATACTATGGAAGGATTATGGGATCTCTTGATCTTGCATGAGATATGGTTGGTCTGGCATAGGAGAGAATCATGGAAGGCTCTGATGTGCTAGGAGAGGATCATGGGGTCTTGATCTTGCACTTAATAGATATGCTAAGAGTCATGAGATTTGGATTTATGGTTTGTTTCCTTTCATGGCCCCTCAAAACGGCGAATGAGATTCTATGAACTCCCAGCTTGTATCAAAAAGTTGTTAAATCAGCTGAGATTAGCTGATGGAAGGTTTGAAGAGTATCTATGTAACTTTCTCAAGAACAAAATGATGATCCAATTCCATGTGATCTGCTTTGCATTGAGCATTTGAATGATTGAGAGATACAAAATCTTTATTTTCACACAGACTTTTAGGTCCTTGTAAGAATATGAACCCATGATCCTGAAGAAGGAAGCTAACCCGTGTGATTATAACAGCTATTGAGGGAAGGGATCTGCATTCAGTTTTAGCAGTGGAACCGGTAACACTAGATTGCTCCTTTTATGACCACGTAATTACCACAATAACTACTTGCGCTACGCTTTGTAAAACAAAATCTGGCCTAACCTGAATATTCAAACCCAAACAAAGTGAGATTGACAATATAATATCTAAAGTATCCTTCAGGTAGTGGAAAATTATTTTCATAACTTGTAAATGTCCTTTCACGAGATTGTAAAAACATTGGCAGACTTTATTAATGGAGTAATTTATGTCTATCCTTGTGCAGCGTCAATTGATAGATCATCATTTGGTTGACACATCTCTTTGAACACATTTGCGCTAGAAGGAGAACTCAAACATATGGAATTCTGAAAGTATATTGCAACTTGAGTTAGGAAAGCATCACCAATGAATCTCCAAGTTCAACTCAAATCGTGGAATAAAGATTCCATAGATCCTTCAGTGCGAATATAAAATTTTAGTTGTAATAACTTGTCGAAGAAAATACCATTTTTTACAATAATTGCGACACACATGGACTAAAATAAGATCATAGATTTTTAGTATCTTTGTTGTGTATGAATAAAGATGTATCCCCTTTACCACATTGGAAAACAATATCAATTAGAACTTTGGATAAGCAATCCAACGTCCAGGGAGCTTGTTGTTTATGAGAAGTGGTCTATTAGACAACAAGATGTCGAAAATGATTCACCTTCACTAGAATGAAAAACCAAAATTGATTAGAACTATGGATAAGCAATTAAGCCATGCCCCAGGCACTTTCTGTTTATTATGGGTGATCTATGAGACAACTAGATGTTAAAAATTCTTTTTTACCTGATCGTTTTGAAAAGACTATGCCCTATTTGTCTCTCTTTAAAACGAAATTCTTTAATTCTTATACTAATTTTTAACCACACGTTTACACAATAAAATATTTTGCATGTAAAAGAAAAACATTTCTCTACTTTTTAACCACATTCTCCAAAAATACTATTCAAAACTTGATTTTTTCAAAATAATGGCCATCAAACAGAGCTATATATATGGACAAACCAGGTTTTCGAGATCCTCAGATTTTCTCACATGATTGTCTACTCAACAAATCTTTCAAGTTAAATTACTACGTTTTGAGTATAATGTTGATATATTAAACTATGGCATTTTTATTTAAACCAAGTATGGGATTTTAAACTTAGATTGTCAATACTCAATCTGCGAATACCTGTAAACATTAAATGAATTGTAAATTGTGAGCTAAGCAAGGATCCCTCAACTTATTATAGAAAATTGGGATATCATCCGTATTTTGCTTCCTCAGTGGTTGTCATGATTGATTAATTTCCTTACGTAACATGCCAGCACTTCTCTTTGGCTGCAATTTGATATGTGCTTGGATTCATTATTTGATAGCAGGAATAAGATTTTCGAGATTCAATCATCCGGAAAGATTGGTTCAGGTACGACAGAGGTACGATGGCAGAATGTAAAAGTTTCACATTTGATTTAGATTAATCTTCAAATCTTCAATCATTTATATTCACAGTACCCTTTTGCTGAAGCCACATGTAAGTATGTGAGAAGGCTTTGTTGAACCAAGTACAATTTATCGCTAGTGTCTGTAAATCACATCTTCTGTTTCCAGAGTATTTTTAACTCATTAGCAGTACATAATTTTTTTTCCTTTTCCTATTTTGCTTCCATGAGCAGTTTTAGCTTTAGCGTTATAGATAAGTGTAAAATGTTACATTTTATCTAATCGATGTGGACAAGTTATGAGCCAAAAAGGGAACATTTAAGAGTATGGGATTACCTTTCACTCTTTCACGTGAGGATGTGGTTATATGAACATTTTAGAAAGTGGGATTGAAGATATTACTAGATCTTGTTATACCATGAGATATGAATGTAAGAAATCTTGTAGGCCATCTATAGTTCTTTCTATATCCATCGCGGAACATCACTTGCTGAAGCAAGAGAAGTAGAATTAGTGAGTTAGAAGGATATGTGTATACACAACTAATGAAACAATATGCTGAATCCAGCCAGATTATGAGATCAGCACTCCAAAACATATATTAGAAGACTAGTAAGTAGTTGTAACACCCCAAATTTTCATAAACTTTGGAGTTTTACCAAAAACTTACTTCTCCTTATGTTAAATATGAAATGATAAAAATAATTTTCTTTAAAATAAAATAAATAGATGAAAATTGTATCTTAAAAAAAAAAACATAATCACCTAACTTATTAAATAACATGTCTTTGAATAAATTAAAATAACTAATAAATTGAAGGATAGAAAAACTTAATGTTTAATTTTTTCTCCAATCCACTTGACAATTTGCATCACCATCCTGTCACAAACCCACTAAGAGTGAGTATATAAAATACCAGTAAAATTATTTTATACCACATTTCTTATGGAGCATATTGATGACCAAACGAGACATCAATGGTATTTTGAATTCCTGAAAGATTTCGCATTTTACTATAAAGAACCCAATAAAGTTCACATTTCATTAAGTCGAACCCAAAGGTTCACTAACAATTCATGTATAAATTACTGAATGCATAAATTATTGAATACATAAAGGTTTACCGAAATAAACCACTTACTCATAAGTATTTTATCTTGATAGATTTGAAAAGTTGTAAAGGAATGTAAAATGATGCACGTGAAAATTGTTTCCTTTTCCTTTCTCTCTCTGCCTTGTGTATGAATAAAATATATTATATGGCAATATTGTTGGATTCTCTCTCTAGCTTTTGATCTCTTTTTGCCGTATATGTATGTGGTGAAAAATCGTTTTGACTTATGGGGGTTATAACCTAGTATTACAATTGTACTTCTATTCTAATAGGAGATAGCCACACGTTGCAAAGTATTTGAAGAGGAATGGGGGTTTCATTATTTGGGTAACGATTGTCTTCAAAAAGTAGAGTTTGATTAGTCTTCTTCTAATAGTTTCTAGTAAACATCCCGTGGAAGGGTAAAAAGAAGTAGGCAATAATATAAACTTCTATTTAACCTTGGTTTCATTCACTCGACCCTAACGTAGTTCAAACTTATCCAACTTAACTTGTTTTCGAGTCAAAGACTTCTAATTGATTACAAGCTACAATAAGAGCCCAATATCGATATACTTATCTTCGCTCTATCAATACCTAATTATTTGGCCCAAACTAATTTGAAATTAATACTATTTCACTTTAGTCCCTTCACTATCAAAAAATATATAAAAAAAACATATAGACCAAAAAATTATATTCTATAAAATTTCGGGACTGTACAATAGTAACTATGGAAAATGGGTTCTTGAGAAGATCAATAATTATACGTGCAAATTTAATCATTGTAGTTTTAATTTTTGCATGATTTCAATCTTGTACTACCTTGTATAAATTCTTCTCAATGAACTATGGGATCTGATGTTTGTTTCTTCAATCCTTAAGTTGTAGTCTTTATTGTTCTAGATACCATTTTCTGTGACACTGAAAGATCCGAAAGAAGAAAACCGGGAAAAGTTTTATGAAACCTACCATGGTAGCAATGTCAACATCCAGGTATATATTAATAATCTTTGTATATGCAGATCGTTTTTGGAACCATTGCAGAATTCCATTCTACCTGTATAAACATTATTCTCATGCCTGTTTTTATTATTGCCGCTGTAGTATTTAGTAACAGTGGATGTAGTGAGAGGGTACCTACACAAATCTTTATCAGCAACAATGGAGTTCATAATTGGAAGTGAAAAAAGTACGGGTCCTATAATCTTGTATAGCCTCTTTTATTATTGCTTATATGTGAAGGCACTGAGTCTCCTTTCTGTTGCTCATCTCAGACAATTTACCGCTGAAACCGGTTTCTCCTGAAATGGTCTTCTTTTATATTACGCAGGACACACAAAAACATCTGTTACTTCCGGAATTAAAATCAGGTTGTCTAATTTTCCTCCATCTTATGTTTATTTTACTATTTCGTGTGCTAACTGAAAAAATATTCATGACAATATAAAAGGGGTCAACTTATGACCTTTAATGACACATTTGAAATTAATGCTTCATCGGCCACTTACTGGCATAGACACATCTGCTTATACATTTCAGTCATTTTGCCACATTAATTTAGGTCTGGATCAGATATTGCTTCCATTATTGCTACTACATCTGGGATTGTTTCTGAAGGCAAACCATAGAAAACGGACTAGTGCATGGTTGGGGGAAGGGGTAGTCTTGAACATTTATCATGTGCAGTTTGTGCCATCTTCATATATGGGAGAAAGGAATGATCATTTGGGTTCTGGAATTCTTTCTCATAAGGGATCAGATTTCAGTGTGTACAAATATTTTTCTGTTTATTCCAATGCAAGAATTGTCAACAACCTTTTTACCAAGATCTAGGAACTGTGCACATGTTAGTTTTATAAAAAATGCCTCTTTCTGAACATAAGGGCTTCTGATATAGAACATTAAAGAGAAAAAAGACAGTAAGAGAAAAGAAGAGATATGGGGAGAGAAATCTAGAGAAAATTACTGTTATATTGAATATTTCAAATCAATCTTCGAATTATTCAATTAATCCTATTTAAATGGAAAAATCTTTAGGAAGAATGAATATTTTCCAAAATAATGGAGGGGGGAATTTTTCTGACTTATGAGGAATAATTACTATTTGAAAATAAATTGAAATCTATTTTTAAAATTTACACAGTGATTGCGTATTTTCCCATTTTTTGAATGTAATATTCCTCACTGGGACTTCAATCTCTATAATGTGGTCCATTTTATGTAGAATAAAATTGTTACATTTACTGCTGCCAACTTGTACTGTATTTGGGTAATTGATCTATCTCCAAGTCATGGATTCGTAAAAAATGAACAGTTGAAGAATAGATTTGATTATCAACTATCCCTCTTGATTACGTAGCAGCAATAGAAGGGTGCTGGTAACACAGTTTCTTAGAACATCAAATTCTTCAGAAAATTTAAGAATGCGGTCGTCTTTGTCATGTATGGTAACTTGGAAGTTACTTAAGTACATTCTCTCTGGATATGGCTATACCGTGTCTGGTAACAAATTTTAATTGACAACAGCAGTTGTTTCGATGAGGCTGTAGTCCTTTTGTTTCTACTTTTTCGTTCCTTTATCTAATGGTTTACATCTTTCAAAAGAATCAGACGATATTTATATATCTGATGCTGCGACTGTGCACTTCTATACTATTTTAACTTCTTTGGGCTTTTCATGTATGGTTAGCCATTCCTTTGAACAGGGGGTTTCCGGGTGACTGGGAAAATATGTACTCAATGTTCACTCTCAGATCCTATTGTTGGTGAGTTGACTGTTGAAGCATCTGCTATTCCTGTTCAATCCATCGACATCCACATACTCCGTGTAGAGTCAATATTGTTTGGCGAAAAAATAGTGACCGAATCCTCTTTGATCCAGACAACTCAGGCATGAAATTTTTCCTGTGTATTTAAATATAACCAATAAATTTTTTTTCTGTTAAAGTAATTCTTTGTCACGTGTAATTTCTATTGTCAGATTGCGGATGGAGATGTCTGTCGTAGCATGAAGCTCCCCATTTACGTCATTCTTCCCCGTCTCCTGACTTGTCCGACCATTTTCGCGGGGTAGGTGTTTGATTGCATAAACACAACTTTTTCTGAATTCCTTTATTCCTTTCTTTCTTCATGTATGATTCTTGATCAAATGCTAATTATGTCGTTTGTTTCACATGAATTAAAAAAGTATTGTGGACTACCTTGAGTTTACATTTAAGTTATCCAACAGCACAGATAAACGAACTGGACAAGAAAGAAATTTGAGAATGTAACTGAGGCTCTCTAACAATCTCCTCTTGGAAGAGATCTAATAAAGTTTCATGATTAGAAAATGTGTAAAACTTCCATCGAAGATATTATTTTACTACTACTTTATATCGAAAGATATTATGCTATATTTATGGACTACTGCAACTCCTTATTCTACTAGAATGACGACCTAAAAAGTCAAAATAGGAAACGAAAATATTAAGATCTTGTACTTAAACTAGGCCCCTGTTTGGTTCAGCTGAAATTTGATTAAAATTTAAGTCAAAGTCAAAATTTAGCCCTCATTTTGGCGCCATTGTTAGATGAAAAATGCATTTTTGGATTCCATCATGCATGGCTCACCATGAGTGTTGAATGTATCAGTGCTGTAGCATTTATGTATCTTTTTCCATATGTACCCCTACTACGCATTGATTATAATGTTTGGAGTTTTGGGTTAGAAATATGAAGGAAAACATCAAGGAATATCCCTGCATAGCCTTTCGTCATTTCTGTGTCAGAAGTCTTGAAAATTGAATGAGCTTTACACTATGCAACGGTAAAAAAAAGGTCTAAAAATGAGGGAAAAAGGGGCTTCAAATAGGCGCTTAATTTTAACCGTACATTTCATGGGATCCATAACTTTTCATCTATGCTTTCGATCAACTTTTATTAGAATATATTGAAAATCTGATTTTTCTCTAAACCAAACAGGGGCTAGAATTTGACTGAGCTAGTTAATACATCAACCAACCCTAATTAGAAAAAGTCCTCAAATTTGAAGAGAAAAACTAATTGTCTGACATAAAAGTACTTAAGTACCCAACTAAAGGTGACTCTGGCTGATACTCAACTAACGGTATATTTATCCCGTAAAATGTTTCTTAAAGATTGAATGAATTTTGAGATTCTCCGGTTTATGTTTGCGTTTCTGACCAATAAATGGCCTTCATCATAGCATTTTACAGAAGCAGTTGCTAGGTAGTTCCAGACATGAGATGGAAGAAGCTATTGTTCATTCCCTCCCCCAGTTGTTAAGAATGATTATTTTCTCTTACCATTCATACATATAAACTGTAACTTTTCCTTTCTTGAGACTTCATTTGCTAGGTGGTTTTACTTTGCTTGAACTAAATATGTCCTCTTGTCGATTATCATGAGCACTCCAGATGCGCGCTTCTATCTTAGATGAGTGCTCTGTGATCTTCAATTACTTATGATTTGATTATTTGCACTTATGATTGTTATGAATCAGGCACATCCTGTGTAACCAATACTAATGTGACACAGGTCTTTCTTATCAATTCAGCGTATTAAATTGCCAGGCTTTTTACTATAGTAAACTGCAGCTAAATAGGAAGCAAAATAACATTTTTTTTTTCTTTTGTTAGATTTCTGTAGGGACACTTCTCTCTTGTTCTATTTTTCTTGTTAATTATCAGATTTAAGTTCATCTTAGATTATTACAATGGCGAGGGGATTGATTCTGTCTATTGTCTAATTCTTCGAATTACCCCGTAATTTTCAAGACCGTGTGAGTCAGTCTGTAGTGGTTATAACTATTGCATTCTACGCATGCAGTCCATTTTCAGTAGAGTTCAAGGTTACAATAATGATCACCTTCCAATCAGAGCTATCCAAGAGGCATTCTCCTTATGATCCCAAAACTCCTAGGCAATGGGTATGCTAGTATTTTTTGTAGATGCCGCTAAATAGCTCCTCTGTGCTCAATTGTAATATTTTCTTTTGTGTTTGACCAAATTTAGCTAGCAATGGAAAGTGTGCCATTGGAGCTAGTTCGAACAAAGTGAGATGATATAGCAAGGTAACTTGTTTTTTTTTTTTTTTTGTACTATCCTATATCAATCAAAACAAGTGAAATTGGTTGCCAATCAATTCACAAGACGTTGAAATTACTTTAAGAGCCGTGCTTTTTGGCTAGGGTGAAATCCCGGCCAAAGGGCGCCCCCCATTGGAGGAGCGGCTACGGGGGCGCCCTGTTGTTTGGTTAGGATTTAACCCTGGCCAAAGAGGATTTTCCTTACTTTAAAACGAAATTGCATTTTAACCAATTAAATAGACCGCCCATTGTATTAAAGTTTACTTGTACTTCGATTTAACCTTTTCACATACGGTGTCTTTTCAAATGCATGACATAACTTCTTGTGGATAGTGGGGTTGCTTGGATCTGCAGTAGTCACTACGACATCCGAGAGACGTCTACATTAGTGATATGGCAATTCTATCTTGGACGATATTGGAGATTGAGGACATTTGGCACTCCAGCCCTGTCACGAGACAGTTCGATTATATTCAGTAAGTAGTAACAGTGGATAGGTATGTATAAATTTTGTAATAATAAATTAGAGCCAACAAAGATACTAGGTTCGAAAGAAAAAATTGAAATGTTAGTTTTATAATGGTTTACTTTGTTTGTGTATGTATCTTTGGTAATAACATAAACTCGGACACCACACCCTTTGAGCTAGAAATCTTGCCCCTAGGGCACATCTCCAAGTGGTAAAAGTGGAGGGTGGAGAAATCCAGCTTTGCTTGAGGTTGCTGCGTCAAGGGTTCGAATTCTGAAATATGGATTTGGCTCTTGGGTAAATGCAAGTGTACAAGCAGCCTTTCACCCTATACCTTTGGAAACAGAACCTGCGATTTACCTTCTCCACGATACTCCAGGGCAAGTGCGGTGGGGGACTCTTAAGATTGGGGTTTAACTTTTTTTTAGAAATTTTGCCCCTTCCGATTTCTTGTCCCTGCAGTTCAACACGTATTTAAAATAATGTTATCTATCACTAGTAGTGTTAGAGCATCAGTTTAATAGTCATGAAATGATTGATTCAATTAAATGTGAAATTATGTGATTTATTTAACAGCGTATCATTTAGCCTTTGTTTGACATCCTTTTATTTATTTTTGATAAAAATGAGTTTTGAAACCTTTTTTTTTTTTATGATTAAAAAGTAATATTTTGAGTTTACATACAATTTATTGGATTAAAGAGTTTTGATTTGATGAATGTCAAATAGGAATCTAATGTCCTTTAGGTGCCACTTAGACCGATATTATGTTACTAGTGATGCTAAATAGCACCATTCGCATAATTATGGTCATACACTATGCTGACCTAATGGGTACAATTGCCGTTCTATTTTTTAGCCATAGAGTCGAAAGCAAAGCTCTCTCCTTACTGGGCACGACTTCACCTGTCGGGATAGCATAACATGATTTGCTTGTATTTCCTAAGTTCCAATAAGTTTGTTGTCTGTTGAGCTTATTTTTTGAAAAAAAAAAAAAATGGGGATTTTGTAATAGTGATGTTTTTGGAATGTGGGGTTCAAAAATATGGATAAATTTTGAATTTCCGTGCAAAAATTATTATTTTTAGTGTGTGTGGTTAAAAAGGAGCTTTCAAAGAACGAGGCTCAAACACGGGCCTAAGTTGAGTGGCGTTGGCTTATTTAGCGGTATCTTGTGATTATCCTTCTGAGTGTGTGATAATTTATTGACCAATTATTGTTATTATTATTATTATTATTATTATTATTATTATTATTATTAAATCTTTTTGATTGCTCGATCGCAATTTTTAGCAGATAACAAGGATTTGTTTTCTTCAAAGAAACTTTTAAGAGAATTCTAACCATTTGCCAACGAAAAGTATTGTATATTAATAGATAGTGCATCTACATGTTGGAAATGATACTTGAGATGTACAAACCATTTTTTATAATCTTCTTTATATGATGTAAATAATTCGATTTAAGCTGTCTTGACATAGTTTCAAATGAATTCATATAAAACCGTTTGGAAAAAATCCAAATCAAAGAAAATCACCATTTTGCTGTTCGGTTTAGTTCTCATACGAGTCAAAACACAAATATATTGATCTCAAATGTCAATCAAAATTTAAATTAGAATTTTTTTAAAACATAAACATTATAACAATCGTATAATGCTTTTATTTCAATAACAAAATTACAAAGTTAAAAATTGTGCATTTCTAAGACTCAAGGTTTGTTTGGTTTACGTTTCTGTTTTCTGTTTTTATTTTTTTATCCATTTTTAGTTTTCTGTTTTGATGGATTATTTTTGAATTACAGAAAATGTGTTTGGTTTGTTATTTTGAAAAACGGTTTTTCAAAACAGAAAATGTGTTTGGTTAAAAAAATTTAGAAATTGTTTTATAACATTTATTCAATTAATTTGATTATTTAGTAAAATATAATAATATTATGATAATATATTACCAGATAATATATATTTTAAACTTGGTGAATTTACAATTTTTTCTTTTTACAAAAATAAGATAATAAATTTATAGACCAAAAATAGGAATAGTTGTAAAGAATATAACTAGTATATCCTTCATCCTACGGATGTATTTTGTTGTCACTTGAACAATAAAAAAGGAAATAATAGTTCTTCCAAATTTTGATCAACGAAAAAAACAATAATGGAAATTGAAAAATGTTGGTTTTAAAATTGTTACGGTTCAGTAAATTGTATTAGATTATAATATTTTATTTTAAAAGTACGTTGAGCATCCCTCTGGTTAAAAAAGAAAGGTGTGTTTTGAGCCTTTTTTGCTTTTTGAGTTTTCAGTTATAAATTTTTCCTTATTTTTGGAAATACATTTTCGGAAACGATAGACCAAACACGTTTTGAACATTCTTGAAAACTAAAAACAGAAAATGACAAATCGAACGCACTCTAAATAAGTAAACAGAAAATGTTGATTATGTTGCCAAAGCAGATCACATTTCCCTGTAACCAAAACTATGATGTGTGGTTTTTGTTTTGGGTTTTCATTTTTTCTTTTTCTTTTTTTAATCATTGACAAAATTTGATTGTTTCTATATTGTATTTTAAGTTACCACTGATTTTATACTAATATCTTTTTAGTTTTTCTTCATAATATCAATAAATTTTCATTCAATATTCAATTAACGTCACATATTTTGACATAAAACAACACTTCTTGATTTATGATAGTAATTTAGACGGAATTATCAATAACAATACTGTTAGTGATCATTGGTGCACTTTCGTTAACGATCATCGACAACAATACCATTGATGTGAGCAATCATCGCCTGTGCTTGGTCATAATCTTCGATGAAAAGTCAACATCAACGAAATATTAATTCCTTATATTCTTTTTTTGCAAGTCGTTGACAATTAAGTTTGAATATCTTTTTATTTTTCCTTTATAATATAATCAATGGAAAATTATTTTTTATTATTACTTTATTCCTGATCGAATTTTCCTTCAATACCTAATTTTTTCATTGCTATATTTATTAATGAAATTCTTTTTCGATAAAAAAGAGATTTTTACAAAGTAAGGTTCAAAAAATTCCATGAATAGAGAGATAGGTCAAGAGAAACATCAAGAGAAAAAAGAAAGAGTCGAAAAAAGGAGATAAAATAAGTATCAAAAGATAAAGGTAAGAAGATTTCTATCGATCAATTTTTATTACAAGCAGACGCAAACACAACTTCTATATCATCACAAAAAACCAATCAAAGTCAATTCCATACTTCAAACACCTCTATAGTATTAGGAAACATTCCTAAACCAAAAAAATCCTTTTCAAAATCAGCAAAGACCTCCATTCAAACCAATCAAGCCTTTTGATATATGCCATCAAACTCTTCAACCAAAAAACTTTAAAAAACTTGTTGAAATAGGATCGGGAAAATTGCCCCTCCTAAATGCATCACATCAAGTTACTTCAAAATTTCAATATCATACCAAGGATATTTCTTTACCAATAATTAATTTAGAAAAATCAAATATGCATCTCTTGATGAATGCATTTCAAATATTCTTCACAAGGATTCTATTACATGCCTAGGGATGGCAATTTACCCCGCTCCACACTGTCCTGACAGGGCCTCGCCCCGAATGGGGCAAAAAACCCTGCTCTAAACGAGTTGAAGGGGCGGGACGGGACGATGATGCCCCTCCCCGAACCTGCCCCGTGAAGAAAAAAATAAAAAATAATTTTATTTCTAGACAATTTACCCTTTAAAAATATATTTTGAATTTGTATTTTATTCTCTAATAATAATATAATTCGAAACTTTCAAAATGTAAAAAAAAATTAAATGGGGCAAAAAGTTACCTCGTCTCCGCCCGCCACGTTTAAGGTGGGGCGGGGCGGCATTTTGGCCAAATATCCGCCCCGCCCCGTTGCCATCACTATACATGCCTTAATGATGCCAAAAAAACAAGGGCTTATTATGAGTTCATTATGCTTGGATACTTTGTAAACCAAGACCTATAGATTTCAATTTTTCAAGGTTTAAAATTTTCAAAGTTCTTTTTCATAGAGAGGGGACAAAACCCTTGGGAATTCAAAAAATTTAATGTTTTAGGAAAAATTTCTCCCTTAAAATCCAATTATTTTGATTATCAATGTGCATGATTTGATGTGTTATACATTAGACCAGCATCCCACTCTTGGTTTATAATGTTTGATCAAATGTGCCGTCATTTTTTTATTTTTGTAAAAATATTTTCAAAATTGGTTCCTATGGTTTGGAATTGAGGAAGAGATTCTTTCCGGTCCCGTTTCTCAATGTTTTAGACATTTCCAAAAGAATGGAACTAAATTTCTTTAAAATCAAGAATGGCAAATTTTTCAATTTTCATGAACTTTATATGTTGAGATTTTTATGTTAAAACCGACGTAGAATCCAATTTTGCTCCAAATCATATTGTTTGATGAATCAAGATTAAGTGGTGAGAAAAGTTTACAGAAACAAAAAGTGCTTGCCCAAAATCAGTTCAAGCATGGCTCGAAATTTGCTAGCATAATCAAGACAAGGCAACTTCAAAAACTCAAGAAAAACAAGCTGATTTCTTAATGAAAAAATAAAAAATAAAAACCGGATTAATGTCAATGTTAGCTCAGTTCAATGGTCCAGAGAGAGTTTGAACATTTAGCACAGTAAGCAGCTATATTGGCAAAAACAGCATCAAATGCCACAAAATCAATTTCAAGTTCCAAGTTATAGACTGAAGACTATGCTCAAGACAACAAGGATGATTATTATGGGATAAACATAGATGATTTTGTTGATGATTCATGATTTCAAAACATTCAAGAATATGTAAACCCAAAGCAAAAAATTATAATATTCACATGGTTCTTATTTTCAAAACAAATGGTTCAAATGATCCTTCAAGACGTTAGAAAAGGAGAAATAAGTTTCCCTTAGAATTTCAAATGGAGTTGATAATTGTCATTCAAAGTAGTCCTTTAAAGCAAGTGATCGACAAAACTAATAACTGTCCTTCAAAGCAAGTGACCGAGAGCAGGGGCGGACCCACATGGGGTCATGTGGGGTCAAATGACCCCACAGTTTTCTGGAATTTTTTTTTTTTTTTGCTGAAAACTTAATTTTTTGCCCCAAAAAGTCCAAATCCTAAATCTATATCCATATGACACGGTCCATATCCATTATTTAGTCCATAAATATATCATATAATCCACCGATTTCTTCCCAAAGTACAAATATCGAACATGAACAACAAACAATCGATTTTTCCTTTTTGTTCATAATATGTTGTTCGAAAAAAAAAAAATTGACCTCACAGTTTGAACGGTCTGGGTTCGCCCCTGACCGAGAGGAATAATTGTCATTCCAAGTTTTCTTCATCAAATTGGAAAAAAAGTTTTAAGTCTGAAGAATTCAGGACATATGTACAAGGATAAACTCTTCAAAAAGAAGGCAGAGTGTAACTTTTGAAAATAAGATTTTTCTCTTCATTGTATTTTCTGATCGTTCATTGGATTTTTAAATTCTTATCTTTATTTAAGATATTTTTATAAGAAAAATTTAACTACTTAAGATCAAAATTACTGTTCACTATTCATCAATCAAATAAAAATATTATTTTCAAGATTATTGCGTCATCTTAATTGCTTTTTATTCCACTTTTTCAATTCCCACCATTCTTTCTTCCTTTTTCGCCTTAGATTGACTGGTGGACTGATTACCTGAGCCAAAAAGCACGCAATGAGGTAACAATGCAACTAATACAAATGGTAAAAAATGACAGCTTATTAACATTCTTGTTTGCTATTATCAAGCATTTTATTGAAAACCATGTGTACTTACATGAAAGATTCTCTAAAGTTTTGATGAATTTAACATGTCCAAAGCTTGAACCGAGCTCACAGGCCCCTCACTGTTTGGTGTTGGGCCCCACACGTATTTAAAAAAAATTGTGGGACCCACCCCCACCTCTTTTTCACTGGCAGGGGCCTGTGAAATAGCCCTTATACGTGCATCATTTTTCCCAAAGCTTCATGTTTTTCTATCGTACAAAGATATCTTCCTCACTAAAGTTATGATAAGGAAAGATTGTTTACAAGCATTTTGGAAAGAACTAAAACGCTTTACTAAAAGAGTTAGAATTACAGTAAAAAATCAAAATAATGATAAAATTCCATATGCAATCTTAACTTATGGTAAAATTGTAAATTACATCAATAAGGAAGGATTAGTACTATGATATGAAACTCTAAAGTGAAAGAGCTGAAGTTGACAAGAACTTGGATCATTTTTTAATAAGATGATTTCAAAAATTTTAAATGAAACTTAAATAAAAGGGTTGAAATGAAGCTTATTGTTTGACTTTAGGATATCTAAAAGTGAATTCAACATAAATCAAATAAAAGAATACATAACTTTATGAAAATTATTTTAAATGTCCCACGATGGCATTCATCCCCACATCGACTACCTCGAACCATTAATTTTCTGAAAAGGAAAAACGAATATAATGTGAGATAAAATCTCAATAAACGTGCGTGAGTAATTTTTGTTCTTATATATCCATTTGATGGAAAATTTTATACTTGTATAGGGAGACACGAAAATTGGACCTAATTTAGATGGTACCAAATTTCCATTCGTAGCGCTACTATACTCCAACCTATCCATACAAATCTTATACATAATACGGACCATGACTTAACACAGACATAAAATAATCAATAAGGTCATTAGATTTTAATAATAGCGCACTTAAATTCTAAATTTAAATCTAACAATGAGTAGTAAAAATTCGGGATGTTACAATCTATCCCCCTTAAAATTAATTGTCAACGTCCACATTCTCGTCAATTTCTTGATATTGCATTTGTTTTAGGTCTTGTGGCACCATTTACTTCAGAAGATGGTACAGAATCCGTTAGATGTAACATATGATTTTTCATCAACAATTCGTTACTTTGTTCAGCTTCTAATAGACAGGATATGAGTTTTAAGAACTTTTTAAAATGATGTTCACAATATTGTCGCTGCAGGAGCATACTCGAGGCATGAAATTTGAAGAAAGTATTTTGAATAGTTTAGAGTTTTACAATCCTACAAACGAATGTGCATCCATTCGAGTGGACTTTGGGAGAACTACAGTCCTCTGATGGTCAAAACTTTCAGCAAAGTTGTTTTACAGAACTTGTGGATCCTCTACGGTGAGGCATCTAATTTTCAATCCATTGTAAAGATGTTGACGAAGGAAAATAAGCGCTCTTGCAAAATCCTATGGAGATTCATTGTTTTCTTATTTTATTGTCTCTCCTAAATCCTTTGAAATAATATGACAGATATTTTTTGCCAGATAAGTCGAGTATGAAAAACTCAAGTTTAGTGATGTTTACCATTTGAATAACTATTCAATCAAATAAAAGACATAATTAATTCTCAAAAAATATGATTAACTATGATTTAATCATATAAGAATCGATGTCCACATAACATGAGTTGTATATAATTTCTTAAATCACACATATGATATATTATTCAAGACATTATAACATCGAGAGCAATATGTCAATATCCTTTTGGAATATAAAATCGTAATACATGTACTTTAGGAGTAAGTAATATTCTTCTAGAATATTAATAACATTGTGCTACTTTAGGAGCAACAATACATTATTATTTAGAAATATTAACTTTTCAGGAGCAACAACATAATACATTATCAATTTAAAGTTTATAAAAAAATGTTTAAAATATTTAATTAGGTTAAAGATACAATGAATATTTAATAATCATAATAAACGTATATATTTTACAAACATAAAAAAATTAAAGCAAAAAGTATGTAAATTGACTTGAGTTCATTAACGTGAATCAAATTGAAAAAGTAGATATATTAACGTGAAATTTGCATTTTTCCATTAACGTGAATTGATTTGGTTTCATCATTGATATATGCAAACAGGATATGCATACGCACATCCATTATTAAATAAAAAGTAATCATTAGACATACAATAAAATAATCATCAATACGGATATGCAGACAAACTCTATGCATGAATTGACTAAATTCATTGCTAAACATGGGAATTGATTACGGAAGAAATAATAATTCTTAAATTAAAGGACATGCATACAAAAATTAATGCAAAATTGTATTGGTAAGCAAAAAGGAAAGATAATTCTTAGTCCATTAATGAAAAATAACAATCATGACTTGGAAGAAAACTCCATGGATGCATATAAAAAATATTACTATCTCTTGAACTGGAATCAAGAGGAGAATATAGAAGTCAATAGGCTAGCCTGTATTTCATTGATAATCGAAGTCTCATATTTACGAGAAGAATTAGGATTTCAAGTGATACAATAATTATAATAACTATTGTTACAGGGGTATAATAATCACTTACCAATAAACACATAATTTAGAATAGTATACGTATTTTAATGATATTATTTTGTATTCTTGAAATTTGGGCCCACATAAAAGTACAAGAAATTGATAAATATCCATGTTACCACCCTACACCAAATAGATTACATATACAATAATGATACTAATATTTATATTTACTTGGCTGCCAAGAAACACATTGCTTATTTGCTTCATGAAATACACGATTACTTGCCTGCCAAGAAACACGTGCCAGACTCATTCTTTCTTTTGATTTAAAAAATTCTTGCATTGCATTTTTGCTTCACGAAATACACAACCTTGTCAAATGTCACAAATTGACTTTCTAAACGATTATGCTTTAAACAACTTTGTTCTTTTATATATAAGGAATAAAAACATATCAACACAAAATAGAAGCATTATTCTAAGGAAAAAATGGTGTCCCTAAGGGTGCAGAAGAGATTAGCAGCCAGCATTCTCAAGTGTGGAAAAGGCAAAATCTGGGTGGATCCCAATGAAACCATTCATATCTCCATGGCAAATTCTAGTAAGTACTTACTTCGCTATATCTTTTCATACTTTTATCTCCTTGCATTATCTCCATTGATGGGCAGAGACCATTTTTTGGCTAGTCTTATACAGTACTAGATTGTAAGAAAGACATACTTGAAGTACTGAATGATTAAGCCGCCATTTGGCCCCCTTTAAATTCCATTAAAATCTATTATTTGCCAAATTTTTCAACTGCGTGCAGGTCCCATGTGTCCATTCCGACTGACATTGCATGTGACGTGTGGATTTTGTGGTCAATAATAATCAATGGGAATTTTTACACTTGAGGCTAAAAGACCTTAATACCTCTACAAATGTTAGGTGCCAAAATGGGGGGCTATGCATTGGGGGATAATTTTGTAAATTGACAGGGAAAGTGGAGGGGAGAAATGTCCTTACAATGGCCAACGGTCCCTTGGATATTGATATCCTCTACCAAGTGATTAGATAGGGAGTAGACATGGGTCCACTATCGTAAAAAAGGCCGTGTTGAAAATTGATGAAAAATTAAATTAAAGAGATTGAGACCAAATAGGTGCTAAATAATAATTCGTATTCTTTATTTTTTATTCAAAAGAATGTCATTTCCCTATATCATTGACCAGTTCAATGCTTTTCGTTTGAAGGGATGAGCACGAGGGAGCTCATAAAAGATGGATATATCATCAAAAAGCCCATAAAACTCCATTCTCGTTCTCGTGCTAGACAAGCCATGGAAGAAAAGAGAAAGGGTAGGCACTCCGGATATGGAAAGAGAAGAGGAACAAGAGAAGCAAGGCTTCCGACGAAGATACTATGGATGAGGAGAATAAGAGTGCTCCGACGTTTGGTGCATCGATACCGAGATTCCGAAAAAATCGACAAGTACATGTACCATGACTTGTACGTGAAGGTGAAGGGAAACGTGTTCAAGAATAAGCGCATATTAATGGAAAACATTCACAAGTTGAAGTCTAGTAGAAGTAGAGAGAAAACGTTACAAGATCAACTCAAAACTAGAATAAAACCACCCCATATAGAACGATGACTAGAAAATCGATCTCTACATATAATAAATCTTATATTTTTTGTGTGTTTGTATGTTAAAAGGTCAATGTTCTCTCTCTCTCTCTCTCTCTCTCTCTCTCTCTCTCTCTCTGTGTGTGTTTGTTAATAAATTGATAATGACACGTATATAATATTTGAGAGAATATGTTGTGGTATTGCTTGAAAATAAACATTACGGAAATCAAATTTGAGTTTTGGTGCTCAAGTTCTTGATAAATAAGTCAAATAGATACGAGGAAAACCATTTGTACAGAGGAAGGGTTTTACAGAACCCCTCCAGAAGAGGCACATGAGATCAACCCCACACGAGACCCGTGGGTGATAAAAAATTGTAAAAAAAAAAAATTAAAAAAATAAAAAATAAAAAATGCGGACCTCCTACCTTGTGTGTTGTTTGTAAAACTTCTATGAAGCCCTGTTCGGTACATGTAGCGAAGTTCAATTGAGACGGAGGATGTATAAGATTATAGGACGATAAAATTAAATTTTTAATAATTTTTGATAAATGTTGGTGAAATAAAAAAGTTAATTTTGAAATATACTATTAAGCTGTAACCATTTTTGCTATATAAATATATATCTTCAAGTTAAAACAAATCCTATCTAAATTAAAATTTAGAAAAATGGAAAAAAAAAAGTTTCAAATAATACAATGTCTAATTTATTATAATTAGAAAATTAACCAGTCACATTAAGTACCTTAAAATACAAAACAACAGAAAAATTCATATTTTGCACACAGATAAATTATAGAAACACAGACAGTTCACAAATAATTTGAAAAAATTCCATAATTATTTCATAGAAGCTGTGAAGTGACTGAACAGTGAGATGATTTTCCCTGGCAATACGATACATTAGCCTGCTTTTCCTGCTGAGCCAAACAGACGCATCTTCTCTGCAACCACAGCTTTCATGGCTTCTTTTGCAGATTTCATGACATCGATAAGATCTTTCTGAGAGTTGGCTAACGATTCCATATAAGCCTTACGAACCTCAGTGTTCACATTGAATTTTGTTACACCACACTTTATACATTCCTATTCATAATGCATAAATGAAGCCAATATCACATATAAAATTCGTAAAAACATTACGATTATTTCGAGTTCAATATTATCCTGAATGATATTTACCTCGATAATATCCTTTGGCAATCCCGAAGCCCCATGAAGAACAAGGTGAACTCCTTTTCTTGAACTCAATTTGTACAGTTCCTGGACGAAAAAGCAAAGCAAGACGAAGAAAAAAATCAGCAGACATCATCAAGTTTCTCAGTGCTGTCAGGACATATTAATGAGTTCTTTATGGTAATTGCCATGTCCAGGTTTGGAATGTTCTGCTATTTTTAAACAAAGAATGCAAAGTATAATTCAGTTTTTCCAGCCATCCATGGATGAACAAGACAAAAGACCAGAAAAGCATTGGTTTAACAAGATTCATCAATGGAACTTTGGTTCCCGACTGAAAATTCGTGTTGGTATACTGAAAATGCATTAGCATGTGTTTCTCAATGCACAACACTTGGTGTTTCCTTTGAAGCCAAAATCTAATATGGGAGATACATTAGACGAGAGTGGGAATGAACTTATGCCAACTTAATTCTATAATTATGTATGAAAGTAGCATCAGGAATGCAATACTTGACCTTGAGCAAATCAAGTCTCAGATTTGGACCACTTGCAGGGTATTTTCCATGAACATTTCCGATACAAACTGCCAATGCATCTATGCCCGTAGTATCAATGAATTCTTCAGCCTGAAATTTTAGTGTAGCTTTATTATTTTGGCAATTCTGAATTAAAAGTATAGCTGACTTCAAGTAAATGTCGACCCAAGGGTGGGAGGTGACAGGCGGGGCGGGCATACCTGATTGACATCAGTAAGCTTTGCTTCATAATCTTGCACAGTCAAGTCATCTTCGGTTCCCGACAATCTTCCCAACTCAGCTTCTACCATCAATTTTTTTGAGTGCGCAAGGGCAGCTATGTGTTTTGTGTACGCAATATTTTCCTTGAACGAAAGATGTGAACCATCTATCATAACTGAATCAAAGTCCTGCAAGTAATATTTTTCAAAGATATACCATTTCAAATCATGTGTTAGATAACCATGGAAATAGGACATAATCATAGTTTTTGGTCAATTTAGAAAAGAAATAAATAAGTATACACAATCTGTATTAAAATGAAGAAGAACCTTACCAACTCAAGAATTTCTAACAATTGTTGTTTGGAATCTCCATGGTCGAAGTGAACCGTAATAGGCACCTGTCACAAAAGTTCAACATTTTATGAATCATAATTTTGACCAGAAACTACAACCGTTATCAAGTAGAATAAAATCCCTCAAAAATATAGATTCTCTTCCTAAAGTAAATGTTCAATCTTGGTAATTCTTCAGGAGAGTACTTAATATGATCTCCATCACGATACTTCGTATATTTTGGTTATCTATTTTTCTTTTAGAGAATCAGAGATGATGCTACATCAGAATCCATGAAACGCTGCTTACACTTGCTTGCTCCGCAGCCGAAATACAGCAGGCAACCAACGGAATTCCTCCTTGCTTCAAGGCACTAGGATGGATCTAAAAAAACAAACAATAAAGCAATATTGTCAACCTTTTTCATTCAACTGAAGATTTTGGTCATCATGCCGTCATGGTAGGCAAGGCACAAAATGGATATAACACTTGGGGCCTGTTTGGTGTAGATTTTTTTGATAATATATTTTGTGGAAAGATTTTTTAGAAAATGTATGGTTAAAAAGTAGGGAATAGTTATGAATCCACGTTATTGGGAGATTTGTAGTAGAAAACGAGTTTAAGGAAAAATGAGCATATAGAATCTGTACCAAACAGGTTCTTAAGAATCTCTGGCAAAAATGATATCCATAATTAATAGCAACGTACTGGCCATTTCAAAATTCTATTTGGTATTAGGAATAGAAAAAATAACTAATTCCAAATGTTTAATCAAAGTATTGGTGTGCAAGAAAGAAAGGGGAGACTAGTAAAAATCTTCAAAACTTTCATTTACATAAAAGGAATAGTGAAGATGTAAAAGACTATCTTTTCGTCCAATTAGGCCAGGGACGTAAACAAACGGCCAAATAGCTATATGTATAAGAATTCTGTTATCAAATATCAAATCCAAGCACATTTCAGCTGAAAGTGTTATAGCATGTCATATAGATTATAGACATGTTTATATAAGTTTTTAAGTTTTAAAAGTCTAAATTCTATAAATTTGGTACATAGATAATGAAAGCTTTGAACCTGTAAAATAGCAGAACTTCGTTCTTCCTCTGCAGCAGCAACAACTGCTTCAATTCCTTCCAAATTATAAACGTTGAAAGCTCCAATAGCATATCCACCTCTTTCGGCATTCTTCATATGTAACAGATAATCAATAACTGAATGAACAAAATTGAAGTTTATCAAAGGTTACAAGGTCTTACAAGTAAAAGTTCCTCGGTGGAAAGTCTGCCAGGATGGATCCAATTTTTAACAACTTCTGCTACAGCTTTACTGTCACCAACATTTCCTGAGAAATACAATTATTTTACAGAATAAAAATCTAGAATCACAGCTGGATCTGATAATTTTTTTCAATAACAAGTCGAATTACCAGGAAAAACAATATATGGAACTCCTGGATGTCTGCTTTCAGGACCTAGCTCCCATAAGGGAACACCAGCCAAAGCTTGTCCGAGTATTTTGGCCAGTTTTGCTTCTAGGGCTTTCGTTGCAAGGTCTGATGACGTAATTCCACCCTATGACAAGAACAATTTTGAAGGCTTGTAAGAACACACGTTTTCTTCAGTTTATTGTCTTAAGATACATTCTTCTATACATGACTTTATACAAGTGAATTAAAAACAAGGAAGGAAACTAATCTCCTAAATAAGGAAAAAATAATTATCCTACTTAACTATAGAAATAATCATATATGCTAGCTCAATCAAATCCCTAATTTCCTCCAATAATCCGATTTTCTACACTCCCCCTAAAGTTGGATGATAAATGTTAACCATATCCAACTTGCAAATGAAGTTATCGAAAATCTGTCGAGATAGTCTTTTGGTGAAGATATCTGCCGTTGTTCTTTTGTAGGGATATATGTCATACAAATCACCCCTTCTTCGACCTTTTCTTTGATAAAGTGTCTGTATACTTCTATATGTTTGATTCTATCGTGTTTAGAGAGATGTTGATAGCTGCCTTATTGTTACAATATAGTTTCACTGGAAATTTCACAGCAACTTGCAATTCTTCCAAGAATTTCTTCAACCATAGTCCTTCATAGATTCCTTGTACAACTGCTCTAAATTCGACTTCTGCACTGCTTCGAGCCACTAAATTTTGTTTCTTACTTCTCCAAGTTACCAAATTGCTCCATACATGAGTACAATAGCCAGTTGTTAATCTTTTATCTTCTGTAGAACCAACCCAATCTCCATCTGTGAAGACTTCTATTTCCTTTCTTTCATTTTTCTTGAAGTATAATCCTCTTCCTGAAGAGCCTTTTAGATATCTGAGAATTCTATATACTGCTTCCAGATGAGTTTCCTTAGGTGAATGCATATGTTGGCTAACAACACTAACTGCGAATGCAATATCTGGTCTAGTGTGAGATAGGTAGATTAACTTCCCAACAAGTCGTTGATATCTGTCTTTTTCAATAGGTCCTCCAGTATTCTCTGTCTTTCCTCTTGACTCAATTGGTATCTTACTTAGTTTACATCAAAGCATGCCAGTTTTCGATAGGAGATCATGAATGTATTTTTATTGTGAAACATTGATACCCTTTCTTGTTCTTGCTACCTCCATTCCCAAGAAATACTGCATATGTCCTGGATATTTTACCTCAAACTCAGTTGCCAGGTGTTTCTTCAGTCTATCCATCTCAATTATGTTGTCTCCAGTTAGAATTATATCGTTGATGTACACAATCAAAATTGTTTTTCTTCCACTCTCTAATTGTTGAAAGAGCATAGTATGATTTGACTGTCCTTGCTGATAACCCTGTCTTTTTAATATCTTGGCAAATCGATCGAACCAGGCTCTTGGTGACTATTTGAGACCATATAGAGATTTTTTCAATTTACAGACTTTATTTTCTTCCTGTAA